TTGTTTGTCATGTCAGATCACATATCCCTCTCACATTCCCTCATATTCAACTTTTGAAAAAAATCCTAAAAAATATAAAGATCTATTAAATATAAGACCTTAAAATATCGCTTAACATACATGGCTCAAGCTCAGAGCCTGACCACCTTTTGATTTATTTGTTTATTTATTTTAAATGTTACGTGAATACATGTGTGTGAGTATCTGGTGCTTGTACATAACTGTATAGGTGTAATGCACATGTACGTGAGGGTGGGTGTACAGATGTGTGAAGGTCAGAGCTCGACTTCAGATGTCTTCTTTGTTTCCAAATTATGTCCTTGAGGTGGAGTACTCTCACTGACCGTGGAGCTTATCTGTTGATGTTGATTGCCTGGTCAATAAACTCCAGTGATTGATCTGTCTGTTCCCCTGACAGTGCTGGGATTACAGACGTGCCTAGCCATGACGGATCTAACATGAGTTTTCGGTATTTGGACTCAGGTCTTCATGTTTTGTGGCAGGTACTTTACTGACTGTGCCATCTCCCATAACCCTAATTTTATTAGTGACGCATAATATTAATTATACAAAAATGGGTTTATAGTGATTTTAATACACGTAGATAAAGCACTTTGCTCATATTCTGCCCCCATTTTCCTGCCTTTACAACCACTGATGGGCACCTGGACTGACCCCAGAATGTGTTTCTTTTGAAAATGCCTTGTTAAACATGGATGTGCACACAACACTATTATAGGCTGACTTTGATTCCTAGGGTTAGTAAATCTGAGTTATATGTAGGACATATGTTTAAGGATTTTGTTTTCTTTTTTAGAAATCCTTCACACTACTTTCCACAGTGCCTACACTAATTTCTATTAATTGCATTATTTTTTACTCCCATCGGGTATATATAAGGGTTCATTTTTCTCACATCCTGGAACCTTAATATAGTTGTGATTTAGTCAACAACTTTTTTTTTGTCTTTTTGAGACAGGGTCTTCTGAAGCCCCCAGCTGGCCTGGAACTCACTATGTAGACCAGGCTGGACTTGAACTCACAGAGATCCTTCTGTCTCTACCTCCCTAGTGCTGGGATTAAAGGAGTGCGTGACCATGCCTGGCTTAGTCAACAACTTTGCCAAAACTTGGAATTATTGGTTCCACTTTGTACCAAAAAACCCGTGTCACAGTGGGACTTGCTTTCATTGGAGCAGTAGAAACGGGGCTGGTTCAGTACCTAGACTCTAAATAAAACCCTCCATACTGTTAATTTGTCTAAATTCTATTCTTCCTTTCCTTCTCTTGATAAGCCTGTATCTCTGAAAGTTATGGATCTGTGACTCTCCTCTCGCCTCTCTCTGTGGCTCTGGTTTAACCTAACTAGCAAACTTTCAGAAGAGCATCTATAACAGAAGCTAAGCAGGGATTGCAAAGAAACAAGTAGAGGAAATTCATGTTCCTTTGACCTACCGTCTCACACATTTGGCAGGAGCTGAGAATAAGAATCATCTTTGTGGGAGTTGAAAAATAATTTTATATGATATAAAATCATTATTTGAATTTTTCTGATTTTCAAGTATTTCTTTTTAAAGATTTTTTATTTTAACTATTCTCTGAATATTCCATACTTGTATACAATGTGTTTCTATTCTTCATCTCCCACCCCTCCTTCAACATCTCACAGACTCTCCTGCTCCTACATGCCCTTCCAGCTTCACATCCTCTCTTTGGGTGTCAGACCTTTGTTTTAGTTCTAATGAATTGCTGAGCGTTAGTGTCCACTTCTTGTTCCTTAGCTCTGGCCAATTGTATGATTTTGCACCAACCAGAGAGACAGAGAGATGCACAGCACAGACCTAAATCAGGGCAATCTCAGAGCAGGTGCTCAGTAGACAGGCATCTGCTGCTGATTTGGTGCTCAGCTCTTCCTGAGGTTTCTGCCACTGTGTCATTCAGAGCACAGTAGTACACAGCTGAGTCTGACTCTTGGACTGAGGCTTTGTGCAGGTGGAAGGAGGAGGCTTCTCTGTCATAAGTAGCTTCACAACCTTTGTTCTTTCCCTTCTCGCTGGCCTTCGGGACTTGGAAGAGTTGCTGTGGGGCCTCTCCAGGATACTGAACATACCAGAACAGAGTAGGGTATGCTGAGGCTGAGTAAGTGCTGTTTATAGTCAGGAAGTTTCCTTTTGAGAGGGTCAGTTGACCTGCCATCTGAGTCACTGAGTCTCCATGGGTCCTTTCTGGAGGAAAAGAAATATGTTATGCCATATCGAAGACAAAGCTCTTAGATAAATTTATGGCTCAAGATTTTTCCGACACCATGAAAGAAACAATGAAAATGTTATAGCCACTTTACTCACCGAGTATTAAAAGTATCACAGTCACTAATCCCTGAGTGGAGTTCATCTTTGGAGTGTCATCTGAGTAGTTCTTCACATGAAAAACTGTTAACGTCATAGAGAAACTAAGAGTCAACCTAAATTTATAGGAAATGAGATAGTGTTAGGCAGCTGTGCCCCTAGTGGACAGTGACTAAACTGGGGCAAAGGTTTTCCTGGCTTCCTTCCCCAAAATCAGAAACACTAAAGCATGTTAGTCTTCAGGCATCACTTACGGATATAAAGCAGAGATTTTTAACATCTTTTTCCTCAGGACGTGAACGTGGCATGGAAGTGTTAAAGGAGAGCATCCCTGGTGCTTCTAGCAGAGAAGATATCAGTTGTCTTGAGCATTTTAATATATGTTCTTATATTCTATGTCCGTGTGTCTGTTGAGAGTCAGTCCATGATCCATTGAAATGGCGAAGTGTCATGGGTGGAAATCATACGCAGCAATAAGAAATCATGTCCTTCTTGAGAGACTCTGCTTTGCAACACTTACCCAACATGGAGAGCAGTGATGACTGACATTTACTGGGTGTCCATGTCATATTTAGTGAAAGGAATGGAAATAATGATCGGGTTGTATAGGTCACCTTTCCTTTC